TTTCTAACATTGTTTTTATATCTCTAGCCTAACTCTTCATCGTGATTGCTTTCATCAATAGTGTTTTAAAACGCAATAACTGCTTTGTGACTAGAATGCAATAATCTTGTAGATAAAATTATCCCAAGCCTTTTTGAAATTTCCAATCGAATAAAATGCTTAGCAGTTTCTGTAGTAAGAGCCAAAACCTTGATTCATTCCACTGTTTATCGATAGTATCAATCCGTCTAAGATCTATCATCAACTTTTAATGATATTGCCTAATGATGCAAGTTTAACAGCGCAAATGAAACTTTCTGGACGCAAGCGTCTCTTTGCATATCAGAGGGTATTATGTGTCCCAAAACTATCACCATTGCGCCTTAAAGCTCTTGCCGTGCGGCAGACTTGTGATTTTTAATGATTTAGCGTCTAAACCTGTGTTTGTGCCGCTCTTAGCCGTTGTCACCCGCTCACCACGTTGAGGTGGCAGCACATTGAGCGGGAATATGTTATCTACCAAAAAGTATGTACTGTATTAATATTTAATATATAAAGTTAAGTTGAAATAACAATAAAGTACTTTCAAAACATTGTATACATACTTTTATCCTCATTGTACGTACCTTATCAATATGAAAAAGTTTTAGTAAAAAATATGCCACTTAGAGGGGTATGAGAAATTGCAATTTCCCATACATTGTTATAAGCGAGTAGAGTAATTTAGATCCAACGATTGCACTCCCTGGACATTTGAACTTTACGATCGCAATCTCCAAGATACCACCACTGGTCTGAGGGGAGAAAGGTTCAACCTAAAATAATTCGCATATACAAGTGACAAGTCCCCATACATTACAGACACTTTATTCAAAAGGTTTTATCTACTATGTAATTATAAGTTTCTGTCTACTTCAGTAAATATTAACCCCTTTATGGCTTACCAGTTGCAGTTTAACTTCATGCCAAGGACGACATATCCAAACGACAGTTTACCGTCTTGTCGAGGACAAAAATTATTCTTGCATGTAAAAAATTTCCTACCACCCGACCATTTAATTATATTCGCTTCACTAACTTTTTTCTGCCTTCAAGTCTTATATAATACGACAGACACTTGCAAAAGAGTTCAATAAAATGTTATATTTGCGCAAATAGCGTTTGTTATCTTAAAGTGGTTTTAAGCGTTGTTTAAAATTTTGACTAATGTTATAACACTTATTGTCTTGAGACGTGTTTGCTGTTATAAACGCTACCCTCACTCATTATACCTTACCCATTCACCATACCCACTTATAATACAGTAGTTTAGCTATGTTATAAAAGCGATCGAAGCTCAATAAACATCCAAATAGGCAATGACATTCGATAACTGGTGACAGAACGAAAAGCCAGACAAGATGTATGTATGTATTATTATGCGCACTCAATATGTGTATAAATTTAATAATCCAATTATTATGTACGAAAAGAGAATGGAAGAAGAGATAGTTGGGAGTACTTCGCGTACAGAAAAAAAAGAAAATTAAGGCAAGCCAACAAAATGTAAACGGAAGCGGAAAGCGACAGCCATTTATGCTGATGGCAGACGTCAAAAAGCGGTTAAGCTTCAGGTAAGTTATTATTATATATGTATGTCTTGTTACACTTTAGATAAATAATACACGCTTCAGCATTATTTGTTAATATTTAATTATTTACCAGCATTTTACACTAAACTTTTACGCTCCAAAAAGATATTATTTTATTATTATTGCTGTAGCTTTACGATTATTTTTTGATATAATTTTTTTATTAAAGACGGTCGGTAACATTACGAGACAAATGTTGATGACTGGGAAAAAATAAATTCTCGGTAAAGTCTTCGTTGGTAGAAGGGGAACTATGTCGGGGAAAATTTCTGCTGAACAAGCGCATACAAGATTTGGCAAAGCCTTAACAAACTACAGAGTTTTCAAAATAATTCAAGCATTACAGAAGCGCTTTTAAATGTTTGAGAAAACAAATTTAATCTTTGGCGTACATAGAAATAAAATGTCAGCCTAAGGTACTCTTAAGATATACTCAACATCCAATGTTCAAGAGCTAAATAACATTTCTAGCAATAGTGCTTTAGCTCAAAGTTTAGGAAATTTAGATGTAACTGCAAAACTAAATTTTACAAACAATCGATGTGTTTGTTACATTGTTTCAGTTATTTGTAGTACCAATATTATATAAAACAATATCAGTTAGCTTTAATATAATTACTTTAATAAATATCGATTATAATATTTATTATTACTAATAATTATATTATACTTAAATACCGTGCTATTCCGATTTGACATGTGTCAGTTCGGAATGGACATAAATTCTTATTTGACACATGTCCATTCCGAACTAACATAATTTTGATCTGACATACAACAAAGTCAAACAGACTACCTTCGCATTTTGTTTAACTATTCGTACTTATATCAGATTAATATTGTGTAGATATTACGACCGGCAGATAAAATCGGCCGTAGCACGAGACACTTCTAGTTATCTTATTTAAAGTTAAAGTGTTCGCTTTTGTCGCGCAAGAAGTATAGCACAAATTTTAATAAGTATTCCGTGCCAGCTATTCCTGAAAGAACATCAACACATAATAATGAATACAAAAAGAAACTAGTGATATGCGATGCCGATAAAAAAATGTAAATCTCGGAATTACAATAATCAGCATGCGGGTACTCACGCCAAAGGTCACCAAATTTCTTACCAAGGTTCCCAAAATAAAAACTGGATGTTCAAATACTGTCGGTAAGGGACAAGTTGTATTTATTACGGTTCTAACGTCACACTTTCGCTAGTATTAATAGATATAACGTCTTAATCTTTTAACTTGCATTGACTCTACTATGGCTTTTGTCTCGGTCTCACTGTTATAGCTTACTCCGCTTAAATCCTATATTGTATAATTGAATTACATACTCTTTAAAGTTAATAGATTTATCTCGTTCCTAACGGAAGAGTCAAACCCGAACAACGGTCGGTGCATACACTGTGATATTAATCAACATTCTTATCGTCTAAATGGCATAATTGATGCTTTTGTCGATTTTTCACGTTTAAAGAAGGAGACATCTTTTTTTTCGGTCCGAGATTGACATATCGATATTATGTCGATCTCTATTGTCAAATCTCATATGATCGGGGCGCACAAATCTCCATATTAATATATGTACCGAACAAGTTTGTATCGACATCGTTTGCGTCCGTCACTATATCATTTGCTAATATCATTTGCGTCTGATTATCCCGTTTGTGTTCGGTGACCCCAAATTCAACTGTTATACAATAATACAACATATGCAGTAAAATTTTAATTACTAAATGTTTAATTTATTAAGAAGTCTGACAATTAGAAATTAGTTTTACGACAATATTTATCACAACTCTGTCTCGCTTTCTACAACTGCATCGATTATCGAGGCATGCACCCTTACACATACACTTAGTCTGTCAATCATGATGGCTTTAGCCTTCATATTCGATGTATCATCATACAAATTAACAAACAATGAAGATAGAATTTGGCTGTATCATATGATTACTTTAATACACTATCTATTAAATAATGATAGCTGTGCAGGGAGTTTACCACATAACGTCTTTCACAACCAGCAGACAGTCTTTTCTTAAAGCATCAGACAATGGACTGCTTATACTCTACTAATATTAGATATATTATTATCATCGTTAGTATTTTCAACATTTAATAGCGTATTGGTAGTTATTGCACGCAGGTTGCTACTAATCTAGTAAACTGGTATATATACTAATACTAGAAAGACAAGCAATAAAAAATATTAACAAGATAGTCAAACCTGTCTACCGTTCTAGTTACGACTTTAACAATTAGATTGGGGTCACCGAACGATCCCCTGACAAAAGTCTTCGGAATTTTTGTTAATCACATAATAAGAGGAAAAATCTATGACCCTGAAAACGGGTGATATGTTTACCGTCCCGAAGCTGCCAGTATTATGTTACACATATGAAATCTATGAAATTTATACGTATAACATAGACACTGCCGCTTTATTGAACTGCAGCTTCGAAACGGTAAAACATATTACCCGTTTCACGAAAATTATCTTCAAACCGTACAAAATTCTCGTGACTTACATAGTAGATACGTACAATAGAACTCTTCGAAAAAATGGATTTTTCATATGTGTACTGTGTAAACAAAATTCCGGAGATTTTGTCAGGAGAGTGTGTATTATAAATAATATAGTGACGCAACGATATACAATATATCCATCTTTGGTTTACCGAGTGTCTGAAAACCCCATGATAACACGTAGAACGCAGCGCGCTTTTTATTATGATTTTCTTTATCGTAAGAATAGTGATTTTTGGGTGACGTCCTTGAATTTTTCATAAGGGTTTCAAAAATACAGTTGACTCTCTCTAATATCCATTTCGTTAATATTACCTCCCTCTCTCTATTAGCAACAATAGTTACAGAACAAATTTTTTCATATTTAAATTCTCCCGCGTATATCAATTTTTGATATAATACCCGTTGATATTTCTATCCACGTAATTTCTCTCTATAATATGATTTGCGTCTTATTGTGTACTAACGTATATTACTAAAAGTGGGCAAATTGAACATAGGGAATGTCAGTTTACATATTTTCTTAATTATTTTATGTGCCATCGCATTATATAATAATAAATGATTGAATATATTAATATTGGAAAAAGATAAAAAGAAAGAAAAAAGAGGTTTAAACACGAGTATCGTATAGTATTACAGACGACGTCATTAACCTCCATCACCCCCTATAATATCCAACCCCGCATATATTAACAAAATTGGCCGGTCCGTGTGGTTGATATTCGAGAGAGTCGACGGTATAAATATACCACAGCTCTACCTAGCACAAATTAAAGTTTTTGCTAAATTCACTTAATAAGAGCTGTGCTCTCTCTCTTGCAAATACGTCAAAACACACCGTCAAATGCACTCTTACACACGCAACATGAAACTTACAGTAATCGTGGTTCTCTTTTCGGTGCTTCTCGTTGCCATGATTCAAGCAGCTCCTGTTGGACCAAATGTGCACACGCTCGCAGAGCGAGCCGGGCAAGGTTATTATGCAAAAGTGACAGAATTGAAGAAAATTCACAGAAATTACGTCTCCGAGATCGACCAATTTAACAAGGAACTACCGGTAGCCGCAGCAAAGGATGGTACAAACGTACCACCGTTTATCTCGAAGTGGAACAACCGCTACAAGGGATTAGTCGACCTCTTGCATTCAGACACGAAAAAATTGGAGAAAAGTATTCAGCACCTTTTCAAATTCTTGGACTCCTAAATTATTGGACGTTGTTTTTTTTTTTTTTGCAATTTTAATTTTTAATCTTATTAACCCGATAGTTTATACGTTTTCGTCTTCAATTTTCGACATTGTGCTGTTTTGTAAAACATATTTGCAAGTTTAGATAATTAATGTAAACAATAAAGCCTTTTTATGCTTTTTGTTATTCGAATGGTTGGGGATCACTTTTGAATGTCAATATATATGCATCTTTGTTTCTTTTGACGACATGCATGTAAAGCATAGCGATGTGTGAATAAAAGATATTTGTTTTCAACAGTATTAATTTTTCGAGCTTGACCATGCAACAACGAACACAATAACACACACAAAACTTGCTTACAATAAAAGTTTTATGTTTTAATTAATATTTTCTGAACAGAAATCAATGCTATAAATTTAAAAGTTACAAATCTTTCCATAATTAACTTACTATTATCGATCCTACTAATTAATGACTAAGTTTTTTATAATTTAAAGCAAAAGTTAATGCTAAACTTAAATATTTTGTAATCAAATCTTGGCAACAAATGGCTTTGTTGAGCAAAACAAAATTTTGACAACTTAAAATTAACTGTTGTATGTAAATTAAACTGTTCAAATCTACCATACTTGTCAGTTTAAACTCATACAACTTGTAAGCACCATTGTACATTTTTGCTTTGACTATATAACTGTTGTGCATGAGTTCAGAACTGTCTCAAATTTTAAATTTATATATTTTTTGAAATATGAAAATTATTTTTACTTAATGACGCGAGGACGCGCATTGCAATTAGCTTCTTTATAACAAAAGTTTTTAACGTAAATTTTCGAAAATCTTTATCATTGATGTAAGCCTTTGTTTTTCACTCAATATTTATGCAAAGTTGTTTAAGTCAAAAAACGTATAAATGTAGATATTGTGAATAAGTTTACTTATTGCACTATAGCCAGTTGGGCTAGTAAAACTTTAGTAGTTTACATAAGATTTCTAATGTTTGATCATGTGATCAGTCATTTCTGTCCAGGCACTGTACATATATTTGATTACTCAAACTATGCTTTGACCTCTTCTTACTTCTCTCAAGATAATTTATTAAAGACAAATAAATAGTTTTTATTATTATTTTTTAATTTTTCATGATTTTAAATAACTACATCAAATTATGTTATTAAAATAAGCATCATCGCTGGTGCAATCCAGTGTGTGATTGGGGGTATGATATCCATAGTAATACAAACATAGGGAAAGTCACATATGAAAGTCTGTATTTTGTCGTGTCAACCAATCACGGGAGAGCAGATGATGATCAACACGGTTTGAGATTCAGCTTAGGCCTTCGAAAGT